CAGATTGAGCATGAACATGACGTTTTTCTTGAGTCCATGGTTCTTTGGTTTTTAATGGTTCATCTTTTGTCCACCAGCCAACTAATCATAAAATAGAACTGTAGTTTTTACACTCACACTCACAATTTACTGACTTTGTTGAGCAGCTGTCATTGGACGCCTCATAGTTTGATTCGGATCTTTATCACCACGCACATGCATTGTACGCAGAGTATGATAATTTCTAGTATTGAAAACGATTTTCTATTACTTAATTGAGTAATTCAGTTCTTACAAATTGGATATAGCTGGTGATGTCCATTCTCGTGATTGCAAATCTCCAGCTAACTCACGAGCTAATTGTTTTTCAAGTGCACTTTTTTGTTCACCCGTTGGCACTTTTCTTAATTCAGTCAAATCACTTTCCGCACTTGTCGACTCAAGGCGCTTCATAGATTTAAATCGATTGTCATAGCCCATGAATGTCAGATTAAAGAATGACATGTTTTGTTTTCTTTATCTGAAACAAAACTTTAATAGAAAAATGCTTCTGATATTAATATTTTGTTTATTTGCTTTTGAATATTTAAATAATTCTATGAAACTACGGATACGATAGTTGTTAGTGTATTAGTAGAAACAATAAATCATGGATACTCTCAGCTACTAAGTTTAATGAAATCAAATTAATTTAATTTTGTTTTTCTATACTAAGTATTGATTTTATTTGTTATTTTCTATTCCCAAGACTCCTACTTAATTAGCACATACGTGGCAACATAACCTATCTGTAGAGCACACTCTCGTCTATAGTCAGTAGTTCGATATAAAAATGGGTGTGTTAAAAAGATATTTTTTTTCAATGATTGTATTGACTAGTTCTAGATGAAAGTGACTATAACTGAATGAGTATCAGTAATTTTCGTAAACAATTCCATTACAAGACAAAGATTAGTAAATCTACTCAAAAAAATGCATCTAAATTATTTACTATGTTAAAATAAAATCCACTAAAACGTAAGCGATTATTATTCTAGCTAATAACACTAATATAGCTATAAAAACAAAAGATGGAAAGACAATTAATTTGAAAGATTTGTTACGTATGACTGATTCATATGTTTCATTATTTTGTTAGAGTCCCTTGTTATAGTAAACATAAGGTTGATTTGTTTTCGCTTGAATTTCTTTTTCAAGTTCATTGATTGAGACCTATTAAATATCACAAATAAAAACAAAGTTAACCTTTGTTAGAACGATTTGTTATTTACTTTGGATCTTTGTGGAAATAATGCAATTGATATTGGTAATGCCAAACCAAATGAAAAGGTACATGCAAGCGTATTTAATGGTAAACTAAGACGTGGGAAACGACGAAGTAGATTTCTATAATCAATAATTTAATCTCTTAGCTTATGTACAATAGTAAAAATCTTACTTTTCAAATGCTAACAAAATAAGCGGTGGAATGGAAAGTATTGGTACTGGTAAAAAAGCACGTGTCATTGCCATTTCCGTTAGAGCCTAAAAATAACAAATAAAAATCCTCTATCGATATCATACTTTTAATGAGAAAACAAATTAATTACCTTTTTAGCTGCTACTTTTGAAACACCTATAGGATTATTCTGTTCATCGATTACTTCGATACCTTCATTTAATTCGTGATAACGCATAAAAATAACATTACAGGTACTAGCACACGCTGTAATTAGAAGGAAAAATTAAATTAAAAAAACCTTTGTACATAAAGAAAACTGAACAATCAGTAAATAAATATTTTAACTTTAAAATTGATCTTACCGACAGCAGGTAATGGTACAAATCGTTGTACAACAGTTTTAAGTGTTGGTGGAAGTGATTTTGCTCGACGAATCGCCATTGTGAGACCAACCTAATAATAGAAAACTATTCAGAAACAAAAACATATGAGATAAAACATTCACAGCAATAGAAACTGAAACAGTAACTGCACTTAAATATCCAGTAACAAATTTTGATATAGGCGTATGTTGTGTTGCATTTCGATTTGCATAATTAACACCAGCATTATGACTAAAATTATGATAGGAAGTTAGTAATTGTGAATTTTCTCTGTAGATTGATTTTTTTTCACATACCTTTGATTTAGCCATTGCCAAAAAATGATTTGTTTAAGCGTTGGATCTGGTAGAAGAAGACCAACAACAATTGGTGTACCGAATGGTACATATCCTTTAACAGGAAAGAAAAATATAAAGTGTAACTAAAAAACAATTAATAGAACAAACAGAAGACTGTTTAAAAGAACAAATTGACTAATATTTGTCAACTATAGGTGAAAAATCTCTGCATTTCATAGGGTACAACTAGAATTCATGCTTATAATGGATAGATGTCAAGAAGAAAAATGTTTACATTATCAGTCATCTTACTTTAAATAGCGGTTCCAATAAATTACTTAAAGAAAAAAGAAAATTAAAAATTATCTGTAGTTTTCTTTTTGAACGAACTCAATGAATAATTTAGTTAACGAGCATAATTTTTCCTAAATGAAGCTAAATTAATTTTGTAACAAGTTCTTACCTGCCATTCGAAATGGCATAAAAATTTTGTCCCCTGTATCAGGATGAAGAATAGCCTATTAATAAATTTATAAAATATTAAAAAAAATAAATATTATGAAGATGAAACCCAACTTGTACGGTCTTTTGTGCTTCCCATAAGTCTTTGTCTGTGATACCTGACGGTAAAGTTTTTGTCTTATATTGCTCAAGCAATTGACGGCATTCATTTAACTTAGTCTAATTAAAAAAAATTAATTAAAATAATCCCTAAAGTAAATAAAACATATTATGACTAACATTGCTGACAAATAATGTTCGTGGATCAATAACATTGACGAAGTGTAAAAATCTTCCCCAGTAGGTGTCCTAATCCAATAAAAAAATTTTAATTTGATTAAAAAAATGCATACACAATTCAGCTTACGAGATCATATCGACTTTTTCCTAGCTCAAATGGGGGATAAGACATTCTTATGTAAAAAAGCAAATAAATAATCAACGCGTTGCTACGGGTGTCTTTTTATTTTCATGTAAACTTCTTTTCGTTCTTTCTTTTTTTCTTCCGCTCTTTCTTTGCTATTGTGTGCATCAAGTGGAGAACGAAGAAAAACAAATGTCGATGTTACCTATCACTCCGGTCAAGGATAGAGAGACATGAATATGATAACAACGATCATGTGAGTAGTCTATAGATACTATTGCCGATCTACTTGAAAACTATTTTAACAGTTCAAATTGATATGAAATACTGTAAACGAATATGAATTTTCTTTTTCTACAATAAATTCTTTTTCTTACTCAAAGATAAATCTAATTGAGTACCATTTACTTACTGTCACACATGCGAGTATACTTGTTCTGCTATGATTTTGAACTTCTGGATCTTGATTAATAAAATCAATCCTTTTTATTTTAATTCAGTTTTCTCTTCCTAAGTAATTATTTTTTTGTTTTAACTTGAAGTTTCGAACGATAAAATTGTTCCTTTTCAGAAGAAATTTATCAATAAATACAAATCAAATATGCTTAATTGTTATTGTTGCTATATTTTGACGCCCGAAGTCTTTCCATTGCGAATAGTGCAATCAGGAGTTTTTGGTAAAAAAAAATCAGGCTAAAACAAGAAATTAGCAGATATTTTTCTCTTGGGAAAAGCGGATAAAAAATCCGTTCAAACAGCATACTTTTGAACCAGAAGAAGCATCTATTCCATGGGCAAAAATAAAAAATGCTATATATTTGTGAAATAAACACTCGCGGAGCGAATTTTTTCGATGCATCAAAAGCATGATGCAAAAAACTATTTTGACTAAACAATTTTGAGAGCTACTTTTAGTTGAATATAATTTTGAAGTAACTGTCGCCAAAGTTAGTCACACTCGCGATTCTAATTGAAAATCATGATAGCGATAACTTTTTATGATTATTATCAAAAGTCAGTCGCCCTTGTAGCAATAAGAACACTACATTCACGACTTTAAAAAGGCAACGTCGCTTGTTATAGGGACATACATCAGTCAGTTTTTTCGCGGTTAGAGGTGAGCAATACAGATATGATCGTTGTGTCCATTAAGCATTACAACAGTTCTCTTGTTTTTGTCTGCTCTTTTATTGGTTCAAAATATCACTAAAATTCAAGTTAAGAAAAAATATTGAAAATCGGGAGGCTTGCCAACCATGATTACCATTTTATTCCTCGTCTACATGATCTTCAATAGAAATGATAATCAACTTATTGTTGAACTTCATCGTGCAATAACTTGTTGTCGTTCCAGAATCGATGGACTTCAAAGAAAAAGTATTACCTGTGAAAAATTCCAACGCATATCTGAACAAGTTAAAATTGAATATGACGAATTACGTAGGTTTGTTTATGAATAATTGAATAAATATAAATTAAATTAAATTAAATGAATCAATTAAAGCAAATATGAGCCAATCATCAGTAAATAGGAAAACTATTTCATTTTTGCCTGCTTATGTGAATCAATCAAAGAATTTCGATTTCATAGAGCTAGATGCCATGTCATCGAAATCGCCACAGTTTAGACGATTAATCACGAGTTTCCCAGGAAAAACCAGGAAAAACAGCAAATTTCAGTGATTTATCGCGATAAATCGTCGATTTTCACTTACATACTCAGCATGGGTAATTTTATGGGAAACTACATCACATCATTCATCTTTTCGTTACGCTAGCTATCTGTCCCCATGCTCATTCTATTTGGCACTGTTATTCACACTTTTTCTATAGATTACTTTTTTTACCTATTTATTGTGTTATTTGTTTAGAACAACAAATCTAAAGAAAATGAGTTGAGAAGGCCCTATTAGAAGCAGTCTGATGCCGTCTACCTATTTTGTCAAAACCGTATCGTTGTTTGATGAATCTCGATTTTGTTGAGAAAATTTTATGATGTGGGATTATATCTATAGAACTATATCCTTTTTATTCTGATGTAGGAATAATCGACATGAAAGAAAATTGAAAAATGTCTACCTTGCATTATCTCAGACAATTGGGAAAAGAAAGATAGATGAAGAAACGACATCTATGTATGGTCCGACAGAAAAATTCAAGCTCAACAATGTGAACTGTTTGATTATCTACTTTTTCTTTCTTTCAGTACCTATAGAAAAAATCTTTTTCTTAACTTGCGTGAGCCTCGTATGTTAGCGATGGTATGAGCCCGAACAATCGCTGTGATATTGATATGGGCGAAATATTCAGAGAGGAATAATTTATAAAACAATTGTTCCAACCAATTGAGAGAAACAAAAGTTCTAAAAAATAATAATAATTATGCATTCAAAAACATCATCCGTGGGTATTCGATTTGAATTGATTAAAATATACGTATATATGAGAATGCACGGCTAGACGTGGCCACGTACAGTCACACCTAAACTCTCTATTGAATCTGAACTAAAATTTTCAATTTAGAAAAAAAATAAATAATGAAAAAATCAGTCCATTGAATCAGCAATAAATTAAATAACAGATTTCTCGCATTATCAAAGAGAATTTGAACTTTATTTGATAAACTCTTTTCTGTCATAGTTTTCGAAGATAAAACAAAGCTTTTCGCTGATCTTCAATTTATTGGAGTATACATATATCATCGAAGAAAAAAATAACTAATAACGAAATGAAATTTTTCACCTGAAAATAATAAAAATGAGTAAAAAATATATGAATTTAAAGTCATCAGCATTTCTTTTCAAAATCGAATTGAGCATACCTGTGCCTCAGCATTATGTAATATACTAGTTCAACTTCAGTAGATGCAATTGATGATGAAGTATTAAACCGACTTGTACGAAGAAGAAGCCAAAGTCGATATAAAAATTGTCGACCGACACATAGAAATACGTGTAATATATATATATATATATGAATAAAAAATTGATATAATTGCTGAAGATTCATAAAAACTGGGCCAAGACAAAAATACAATAACTTTTCTTTGTGGCCAACCAGATAAACCACCTATCGTATTTGATAATATACCAATCAAAACACCAATCAATAATAAGGATATAGATTTTACTTTATTTTGTACTGAACGGTAAAATGATAAGACAAATCAGTTTAAAAAATATTTACAAGAAAAGAATGTAACGGATACCCCATATTAAATAAACCACTTTTATCTCTCGTATTTTAATTCCTAAATACGCCTTAATAAAACACAGAATATGCCACAATGTATAGCATGCGAAGCTCTGCATTCTACCAAATAAAGCTTATTTTAATTGTGTACATTCTGTTTTCGAAACAAAATGAAATCTTTTGTGATAACTTCTCGTAGTGTCAAAAATTAGTTACACCAAAATCTGCTGCCTTTGAAAACAAAAAGCACGCAATTTAAATAGCCTCTACTTGGTTGATTGTAGAACTTTTCACTCTATATCTTGCGGTTAGTCGTGTTTTTTAATAAAACGCATTTAGAGATTAGAATACAACATATAAATATAAACACTTATTATAGGGTATTCTTTACTTCGACAAAGCGAAAAAATACGTACGAATATAATATCCATAGATTCATATTTTTTATCTGTTTTTTCCTTGTGCCAAGAAGATAGATACTCCCAGGCTGCCTAATCGATAGTACACAATAAAAAATGGAACATCATTTTGAACAATTGTCTAGCTATACACTTGAGATAATTAATAATCAATCTCCACTTTTCTGAGAAAGGCAACGCCAGTGATTTGACTATAAGAAACAGTCATTGGCCGAAATAAAGGAGCATGAATTTTTTCCGATGGTGACTAAAATCATAGGAAAATTTTATTTTGAATTTCAAGAAATTATACATTATCGAATGTAGCGTGTGACGTTAATTCTGAATATGATGCTACAATTCGATGACCATGAAATTTTGATCGAGAAAGACCTATTTTAGTGCACACTTCTGAGAGAAGATCATCTGTGATTCTCGTTGTCAACTAATCTAGAAACCTCATCAAGAAATCTAAACTGTAAAAGATATGTAGAGCGTTAAATTTCTCATTAATGTCATGCAAAACAAAACATTCAAACCCGTATTTTGGATAAATTTAGAGTAAAATATTTAAAAAAAAGCAAATATCAGACTTGCAATCGGCTTTTGTTTATATCGCATTGATCGGAAATATAATTTTATACAGGTCTCTTACATTTTAAATTCCTTAATGACGTTGTCGCAAACTAACTGGTGCCGAAAACCAAAAATGATTCTCCGTCAAAATTGTTCATAACAATAACAATAGATTTATCTCGATCAAAATTTTATTGTCGTCGAATCGTAATGTCATATTCAGAGTCAGTATCAATCACTACATCTGATGACATTTAAGCAAGAAGAAATGGCGGACTTGAAGTAGAAAAGTGCGTCCAAAGTACATGCTCGCAGTAGCTAAAAATACCACTCAAGTCGCTTCGCAACTTTGATATTACTTCAAGTAACTTCGAGTAATTTGAAGTCAAAAAATTCTTCGAAGTGTACCGCTGAAAGTAGCTCAAAGTTACTTCAAGCTCAGAAGTCTGCCATTTCCCCCTTGTGTTTAAATCAAAATAATTAGAAAAGAACAATTTTCGATACTATAGTGCTGATGTCGTCTAAGTATAAAATGAGAGGCGAAAAACAAAAATCTTTTTGCATATTTATATAGTCAGATTCATACATAGGCGACGGAGAGCCTTCAATCTAGACGAGACTTCTGGTGTTTCATTCCGCTCATCCGTCGACTTTCGATGCTTCAAGTTTTATTGGAGAATCAACCAAAGCTCTTGTATTAACTTCAGTAAATCAACACAAGAATGAATAAAAAATGCATATGACTAAAAAGTGCCAAAGAACATATTTCTTTGTTCATTTCTGGATGCATAACAAAAGGGGAAAATCCATGGAATGATACATCCCATATGTGTAAAACAGAGACAAGGAAAAGTTCAACGATGAGAACGAACAAATAATCCAAGTACGACAAGAAGAGAACAGCATATACATATAGGAAAGAGAATGACAGAAGTTGTGGGTGTCGACAAGATTTTAATGTGAACCAAGTGAAGATCACACCAAAAACCATACCCTGGCATAAACACTCATACCCACATCCTATAGGACGAAATTTTGAAAATTTTCTCATCGATTCCAATGCATAACCAACAATGAGATTTGATTGTAATGTAGAACCATTATTTACTAGATAATTTATTAAAAACAAATTCTTCAAATAAAGGAATATATTTAAATTAGAAAATCTAATAAAAAACTCTCGGGTATTTTTTACTTTTTATTCATCTTATTATTTCAATGATAACATTTTTTTCTCTCTTTAAATCAATATGAGCGAATAAGACGGATAGACTTGTTTTTATATAGACGATATCTTTTCGATGTATTCAATTCATAGACGAAAATAAAAGTAAATAATAAGATGAATAAAAACTATTGTTTCTTTATAAATGATATATTAAAATTCTATTACATCTGAGCACAAAAGATATAGGATTAATAAAAAATAGCGACTAGAAAAATAAATATATGGGAATAATACTAAAAAACTAAATATTAAGCATTAATCATCAGATTGATTATTGTCGGCAAGCATAATTGATTGTGCAAGCAGTGACACAGCAGCACCTTCTTCTAAAACTTCAGGAGAAAAATCTAAATCAATAAATAGAAACGTGATTCTTCGATTAAACTAGATGAAATCGCCTACTATGTTTTTCATTTTTCACACCGTGCGTAGATGGACTGTTGATTCCACAACAAAAATAGCAAACTAATATGGACGAAATATCAAATACAACAATTAATGATAGCACAACTAAGAGTATTATTTTTCCTGTGGATGAAATCGACGGTGGAATATGATCTATTAAGTAAGTAAAATAAATAAGATAGAATAGAATAGAATAATACAAAACTTACTGTATTCACATTGTGCCTCGTCAATATTATTATTCGGGCAATTTTGAAATCTATCACAGATAAGACTTCGATCAATACAATAAGTATCCGTAAAACAATCAAAACCACATAATGAATACATGCCTAGAAAAAAGGTTCTTAATATTTTACAGATGAAAATTATTTTCTCGCTTTTTTAACTTACGTGTTTTGTATTTCAATGGTGTAACAAGCATTGAAAATGGGGATATTGGAAACTTTTTTCTTCGATCATAAACGATTTTTAATCTTTCTGTATCTAAATAATATTCACTGCCCTCTTTTGAATGACAATCAATGGTAATCTGAAATTACGTCAAAATCAGTAATAATTACAATTGAAACCATTGCTTTTATTTCTATTACTTTTTCACCGGATTCAGAATGAATATCAACGTATTCTGATGCACATAAAGGCGGTTTAAGTAAACGAATATAAAACTTTGTTGAAGATGATATATTATGTATTAGAGATGAATTCCTTAGGACTGGAATACCATAGCTCTCTAAATTTAATTCACATGAGCCAGTCCATGGAGTTCTAAATAGATATAAAATGAAATCGTTAATTCAAATACGAATGATGTTGTCTTTTTTTTTTTTGAAAACAAACCCAGCATATCGGACAAGTCCTGCATCTGGTTTGAATGAATTCCTTGGATTGCAATATGGTCCATAAATATTTTCAAGATTAACTAAAATATTTTGAAAACAGAAACCTTAATAAAATAGTTTATAAACAGATCTTCTCACAATAAGTCATTTTGGCTGATGTAAACGATAAATAGAATAAGAACAAAAGATGTCTCATTGAGACCATCTAAAAAGAATAAAATGATTTCTTAGTTGACTGAACATTTCAATGTAGGAATATTAATTTTATGCAAAAGCGTTAATTTTATTAATCAACATCCAAAAGATTCGCATCTAGAAAAAAAATTATTTTGAGCAGAAGTATATTTGATGTCATCCAATACAAGTGGAAGAAGAAGAAGAAGAAGCAGAGCTTTTAGAATCAATAATTAATGATCGTTTAATTAATCAGAAGCAATAGCATGAGCAATATTTGATTGTTGAAAACTACCTGTTGATGCATTACCGATCAGGTCAAGTAAATATATCATAATGATTCGTGTATTAATAGACGAAGAATCTAAATTGAAAAATTCCCAAATATTTTTATTGATATAAACTAATAGCATACGATGACAACTACGTTCCTCTTTTTTCCAGTTACACAAAAAAAATATATATAATATGCTATCGACAAATAAGAAGTTTGGCGGTTTTAGTATATTTCAAAACATCACAGTAACTCCTCCTCTATGTTGACACTTGGGTTCAAGCTTTGAATAAATGATGTAAAAGTCTACCATTTACTCACACGGTAAATACTGCATTTATTGATCTTTCCTATGTTTAAAATACTAATCTTTTTTTTTGTAAAATTCTTGTCATTTTTTAGTTCAACCAAACTCTCGTATGACATGTCTGTTGAATTAGTAAGGCTACTAACTACATCATTCGAGATAGTTACCTGTTGTAATTAAGCATTATTCTCGAGACATTGAAATTTTGTTGATGAAGAATAATTTGTCTGACGAACAGCCAGTGTGTCGAACTCGTTTTTTCACATCGAATGACTACACTAATATGACACATGTAAGAAAGGACTATTTTTTATTTCATAATGAAATTATCTTGCAACACAAGTAGACAGACCATAAAATTGCTTTGCATCCTTATCATGTTATCATCAGTGGAAAAATTTTCACCTGAATAATGATGAATTAAAGTATTCAACCATAATATTGATGGATCATTTCCAATAGATGACTATCCAACAATATAAGCATCCGTTCTAATCTTAGAATTCATTCAGTGATAAGAATACGAGGTATTATATTTATCTAAAAAATAAAATTATATATTTTTTTATTCCAATTTATTATTCATACAGAGAACAATGTATTCCAACCAACAGCATAAAACTGAAAAAAAAAGAAAAACAAACACATTATGTGATGGGCACAAATGGCAAAGTGAGTGCATCAAATATGAAGATGAACACAGTCACTAAATACGAGAGCATACAAAATAAATAAAAATTATCATCGCATTTACACGCCTATGCTCAAGTGATATATATTTAGATCTATCAGGATAAAAAAAAACGATGAAGGAAAAAGTATTTGATTTTGCTCTACACATAAAATAGAGGGACAGGCTAGTAAAAAGAATTATTTTAATAGTTTTATTTACAATTACATTATAGCACTACAGAAAATTAAAAACGAACAAAAAAAATAGTAGTCACTGCAAGAAAGAAAATATTTTTGCGGAAAAAGAATGTACACATAAGATAAAAATAGAAACGGAACAAAAATACAACCGGCTAAACACTTTGTGAATCCTTTATTATTTTTTTCCTTTCAAGACAAATATCATCTCATAGTTAAACATACTGTTCAAAAAGAAAATTTTGTTTTAATGGAAGACTAAAGATTGTTTCTATCAATGTAACTTCTTTGTATTGTTCTTCCATCCATTTGATGATTTGATTCTGAATTAATATCCATTCCAGTGGTTAACATAATATTAGCATAATCAATATGCCCTTCATTTGCTGATACGCGTGATCCTTGATGAATAACTTTCGTTTCAGAAATAATAGCTCGCAATTGAGTATTTTCACGTTCGAGACGAGCTAATTTATCGCTTATTTGTTTCATTTGTGTTTTATATTGTTCTAAATTTCCTTCAAGTTGCTCAATATATTGCCGACGACGTTCTCGACAACGTCGTGCCGCTTCGCGATTACTATCACGAATCTGTTTTTTACGCTGATCTTCAGATCCACCATTTGTTGTTGTGTTTGATGTGAGCGTATTGGTTGAAATTACTCCTGGTGTAGATACTGGCGTAAAAGATGGACGAAAATTCATAACTGTTGCATTTATAGGTATTGTAGCTGTTCGTTGTCGTTTCCCATTTGATAATTGATCAGTGGATGTCACTTCATTTAGTGTTGGCTGCGTCATGATAATAGTGTTTGTTTTCGATAGTGTTGGCATAGTATTACCTATTTGTGGAGAATACTCAAGTTGAATCATAGGAATAATTTAACACTGAAATTTTATCTCTCGGAATTTGTCTTTTTTGACAGATCAATTCTGAACTTACGATCCAGTGAAATGATTTGATCGACATTTTTTGAAAGAAAATTAGTTCAAAACACAACCTTTTTCTTTATATTATAGCCTATCCGCAAGCAAAGACACAATAGCACATATTGTTTATATTATCTATGAGGATTTTTCCACATAAATATATGATACTTCCCTAAAGCAAAATAGTATGTCATGTACTCAATTATTGATGATTAATCTCTAAAGTGTGAATTTGTTTTTCTTATTAGAAAAAAAAATGATGAAACTTATGGAGTGTCTTCGAGTGAACAAATCATGTTAACGAAAGATTGATTCAATTTACGTTTAATATTTAAAAAGCATGAAATCAGTATACAACCGTAGTAATACTAAGACGATTAGATATTGAGAAGAAAAATACAGAATTTTCGTACATGCATGTAAAATAATTGGTAACTACGATAGCATTATGATAGAATGTTTTTCTCCAAATAATCGAATTCGATTATTTGATTTTCTATACAAACAGACTGATATCTAATTCAATAATTAAAATATCATTTCATATTTCAGGAAATCTTGCGATTATTTATCTAAACGCTTTCTATGATTCTTCTAAATAAAATAAAAACTTACCAGTGTTAGTCTGTTGAAATGATCGTTTCGTATTATTATTATTATTATTATTGTTATTGTTATTGTTATTGTTATTAATATGATTTGATACCAAGTTTTGCTGCTTTGCCGCTTCATGATATATTATATTTCGTTCAATTTTTAATTGCATATTATGATGCTGTTCATGTCCATTGTCGATAACAGATTTAAATTGTTGATTATTATTATCGTTATTTATATCCATAGAATGTACTACTATTGGTAAATCAGATACTCTAGTGAAGTTATTACCAATTGAATCATCCATTGAATTCTCGTCATCAAGATCATTTTGTGTATTTAACATACTATTATCGTGATTGGATTTTTGAGATTGGGATAGATGATGATTATTTTGCATTGGTGAAGCTGGTTCAGTGTGGGATTGACTTCGGATCAGAAACTTTTTTTTTGGTGATACATTAGGAACTAAATTTACTGTTGGCGAGGCATCATATCGAATATTATCACTAGTTGATGGCGTTGTTTCATATTCCTGATTATCATTCATTAATGCTTTCGATTGAAATTGTAAAGGATTTGAATTTGCGAGTGCTTCTAAGTCCGTGACTACCTATGCATTTAAATATAAATAAAGTAAAAATATGAATAATCGTAATAACGCCAACGTAAATAATTGCTCATAAGACAAAATTATACTTACATCTGCTGTCGATGGTACTTTCACTGAAGCTACATCATCATTACCGTTAGGAACATTAGGTTTATCAAAATTAGAAACAGGAGTTGAGCTGATTCTTTGAAATGGTGATGGCGTGGGTTGTCGCGTTTCATTAAAACTTTGTTTAAGTTCATCTTGAATTTTTGATACTTTTGCATCAGCTGATGACAAACACGAAGATGTTTCACTAGCTGTTGATAATATTGACGATGGATTAGACGTTGAACTGATATCATTACCATTAGCAGCGTGAGCTGGTGCTGTGACGAATACTGATTTTATCGGTTGTGCATTCAAAACAATATTAGGAGTCATTAACGATGGAGTTTCTAAAAAACTTGAAGTCAAGTCAAATTCTCCGTCGTCGGCTTGCATTGATAATTGATTTTTATTGAATGATAAAAACAAAGACACTAAAATAAATATAATTAATTTTTTATGCTATCAATTTAGCGATTAATAGCACAAAATTTCAAGAGAAAAATAACTAAAAATTTATTGGATTTATTCATGTAAATATGCAAAAGATATGGCGGCGAGTACAAAGGATGAGTCTTATAGTGAGTTCGGTTTCTTTTATCTCAGAATTTCATAAATAAATAAATAAATAAATAAATAAATATATTGACTCACAAAAACAACATGCACCGAGAATGAAAAAAAAGCACGATAATAACAAATTATCTTCAAATAAAAATTATTCATACTATTAAACTCAAACATATTATTAGAAACTAAACTCAAAATATTTTATATTCGAAAAGGATTCCTATAATATCTAACATTAATATCAACAGAAAAACAACATTTGAATTTCAATAGATGTCACTACGAATGATGGTTGTATTAACAAACGCAAATGATTAGAGTAGCTTATGATTCATAATATAATGGCTCTCTTCAATGTACATGTCGGCGTGCTTATCATCAGTCTACTATTATTATCATTGCTACCTAAAATAGACTCTTCAATTGAAAATGAATCAGGTGATATACATCATGAGAAAACAAAATATTTTCGTGAAGAACATGACATATCGAAGTCAACATCTAAATGGGACAAATATGTTAAATTAATTGAAATAGCTGAAAGAAATCATAGAAATCAAACAGATGATAATAATCGATCAATATTTCGTGAACAAATCGATCGTGATTTTTCCTATTGGAAAAATCAACCGATGAGTGAAATTCAAAAGCAATTCGATACTATTGTATCTATTGCTAAAACACGTCGTCTTACGCTCTATCAAATAATTGATCATCGTTTATATCGTCAAGCAGAAGATGAATTAATATTTCCAGCTCGTAATTACGGCATAGAACATTTTCTTTTGAATATTATCGATTCTTTACCCGACATGGAATTTTTAATAAATACATATGATTGGCCACAAAATCAACTGAACATTCCAATTTTATCATTTAGTAAATCGTTATTTTCGCATGATACAGATATTCTCTATCCAGCATGGTCATTTTGGGATGGTGGACCAGCACTAGGTAGTGTTTATCCAACGGGTATTGGTCGTTGGGATATAATGCGACAAACATTAAATAAAGCTCGACAAAGTTATTCTTGGACAAAAAAAGAATCTCGTGGTTTTTTTCGTGGTTCGCGAACATCTTCGGAACGTGATCCACTCGTGTTACTGTCTCGTAGTCATCCTGAACTACTTGATGCACAATATACGAAAAATCAAGCATGGAAATCTGATGCAGATACATTAGGTTATCCACCAGCTGGTGAATTAAAACATGAGGCATTTTGTCAATTTAAATATCTCTTTAATTTTCGTGGTGTTGCAGCATCATTCCGTTTGCGTCATTTATTTTTATGTGGCTCACTTGTTTTACATGTTGGTTCAGATTGGATCGAATATTTCTATGATCGCCTTGAGCCTTGGTATCATTACATTCCATTAGAAACTGATTTAAATGATGTAGAAAATATTTTATTATTTGCTCAAACTAATGATCGTTTAGCTGGAAAAATTGCTCGTCAAGGACGAGATTTTATTTGGAATCATTTAACTATGGACAATGTTGAACTTTATTGGAAAGAACTTTTATTAGAATATTATAAATTATTTGGAATTGAGAAATCAATTGTTAAAAAATCAAAATTTGTTCAAGTTCATCAGCGACCTAAACCATAAATTGAAAATTTTGACAACGAACTGTGTTTTCCTTAACTCAACTAACTGTCGGATCTCAGCTAATGTTTTATTTCAATATATATATATATACTTCTTGCTAATTTTTCCTGTGCAATGAAAGGTGCTTTAGAGAATGTTGTTTTTTTTTTTCTTTATTCCTTTTAAATAAAAGAAAACAAATAACCATAACATGATTATTAACCAAACAAAGTAACAGCCATATTGAAATTGATTGGACATTCAGTTGCTTTCGCTTTATCTTTATTTCTGCTAAAGCGGATCCGCCGATTCATATCATGTTCAAACATCTAAAGAAAAAATATATTTGACATATTATTCTAAGAATTATTCCATAATACATATATTTAGTCACAAGAAGACAACAAAGATTTCTCTTCGTGACTTATTTTATTATGAGATAATAATGAACGCTAAGTACTCAAAGATTTGTCTCCCAGTTTTAAATAATAAAGACTATAGAGAATTTTATTTCTACTGATAAGTCTATAACTGAAATATTTTGTGTGATATGTATACGAACCTCATCATAATCGACTTCAAGTAATGGATGAATTTCACGTTCCTGATTTGTTGTTCGAAGAGACATGAGTGCAAGAGCACATTTTGATACATCCGGATGATGGTGATACGTGAGAGACTAAACAATAGAAATAAGTTTTCAATGATTAAATTCTATGTAATTTGATTACTTCTATTTCCCATAGTGAACTCTCAATAGCATTTGTTTTGTTTGGATCGAGCTCATCAGATGAGTAAACATCTTTGTCGGCTGATGTTGATTGAGATTGTTTTTTATCAAGCATAACATGAATTGTTGGATGTCTTACAATTAAATTATAGATAAAGGTTATAATTAAACATTGATCATGTTGTGGTACTAATAGACCTAATCGAGCAAGACGTTTAGCAAAACTAGCAATTAAATTTGCTGGTAAATGTCTAAATAGAATATTTTGAAAGTCAACGTCGCCTGTAAATGAAATATTTAACATACGATGATTGAAGGAAGATATCCAGTAAGTAGAAAAATCTTGCTTTATATTTAGCACTAAATAAATCGATTGTTAACAATGAATAAAGTTTACCAAAAAAGAATGGATATTCAAGATTATACTGCGTCATTAATACGTATAAACCATGTAATGAAAGAATTTTTGATGAATTATTTTGTGTTTCATATGAACTAGTCAAAAAATCAGCTAGAAGAATTGGATTAGCCATACGTGGAATGATTTTCGTTGGTATTTGCAATAGAATTCGACGATATAATGTTGCATCGAGCTAGAAAAAGAGAATCTTATTAATTTTCCGTAATGACAGATTGTCATACAATGGAAAGGATTGTAAAAATGTTTTACAATCTGTTCGCCGATAGAATTGTTTGATTGAAATTCTTTTGTGAAAGTACGAGACATAAAATTGATTGACTTCGGAAATTTTCACCTTAGAGATTTTTTTCTATTTGAAGACAAGATTTCCTAAGAGAGAGGTGAGAGACCACAAAAAATGTTTTCTCGATCGTAACCAAAAGGGATCAGTAAATATCCTATGATTTTAAGTAAGCTATTTTATCGATTATACCGATGAAAGGATAATTCAATAGGGAAAATCCATCGAAGTGCTATTTGCCGTCTCAGTAGATCAACAAATAAAAACGAAAAAAAATGTTGTTAGGCGTGATACGAATAGATTTCAGCATAGTCGTCTCTAGATTGAGACCCATACATGTGTCTACTATCGAGCTGATAAAGATTGTTTAACCATTGAAAGAGTCTTATAACAACCATCGGGCGCAATAACACATATTCTATATATCTGCTTTTCTTATTGATCTTAGTATATGAGAAGTTGTGCAAAATATTTATCATTGTTAGAATCTATTTATTTGATTGTTTTCTTGTAGATGAAAATATTACATTCTTTCTATTATTCTACTAGCCTAATGACTATAGAAATAGATGTACTCAATACTTATATCTATCATATGAATATACCGAGAAGATTAAGATACTATTGGTATGATCATTTTGGGATTAAATGATTAAATTCTAAATCAATAAGAGTATCATCAATACATATTTAGTGTTCACTTGTAAGAAACGAAAGCAATATAGACGGATTTGTTATATTTTTATATCAAAGCAATTTGTATCATATTATTAAGAAATATATTTGCAATATATGATGAATAATGTTTGGAAAAACAAAATCTATGGAACTAATTGATAAATGTTACCTGATCTGATGATAGAAATGCCAATAAACGTCTATCATATTTTTGTTTATCACCCACACTACCAGCTGTAGTATTTTTCTTCTTTTTTGATGCAAATAAATATTGGATTAAGTTCTTTTCTTTCATTTTTTTTCAAATCTAATAATAATCAAAGAGAAGAAAAAGAGCTGATTGATTTTTGTTTTTATTTTTCGATCTTCTTAGGAAAAAAATTGAACAAATGAGAACAAACATATGTATCCCTGAGAAGATCTTTTTTCTTGATGTTCGCAATTCTTCCAATAATATATATATATATATATATATATATATATATATATGTAATATCTATATAAAGATGAACGACATGTTCTCTAGCATGCACAATAAAAAATAAGTTTTCTCTTGTTTGTTTCGACTAGAAAAAAAAACGGTCAAACATGACTAACTGTACATAGAGAATAGAGAAAAAAAGAAAGAAAACAACTATCAAGTTGTTGAAGGAGAAGATGATGATGATGGTGGTTGTGGTGGTGCAGTAGGCGATGAAGATGATATTTGTTCATTATTCATTTGTCCCGAGGACATTTGTGTTGTTGATGTTGAAGAATTAAGTGTAGCTGCAGCACGAATATGATATTGTTGAAGAAGACGATTGACAGTGATTGAATTTGTTGCATTTGAAATGGTTGTAGGCGATTGTGCACGTTGATTCATACTTGATGATATTAAATTTAAATGCTGAAGTAAATTTTGTCGCGTTAAACTAGATGAATGCGTTGTTGATTGTTCATCACTTCCAGTTGCTGTTGTTGATGGTAATTGAAATACAATGTTCGCTTGAGATGTTTTTGCCGTAAAACCAAGTGTAGCTGGATCCATAATTGATGATGATTTTATTTTTGATGTTGGACCAATGGATGATGCCGATGCGCCTGGTATTGTTCGTGCTGGTACCAGTACAGCACGTGGCGTTGGTGTAGGGTCATTTGGATCCGTGTTTGTTACATTAAATGATTTAATGCGATGTACGTGTGCAGCTATATCAGATGAAATATCTTGATCAATATTTATTGTTGAACGTGGAAATGATGCTGCGGAGGAATTAGTACGATTATAAGTTATATTAGTTGATTGTATTGGTGTCTGTTGAGTATTTGTTGTTGTTGTTGTCGTCGTTGTTGTATCAGCAACGCCTGTCGTGGGATTTGTTCCAGGTGTAAATGTAAGAATGCGAACATTTCGCACTTGACCAGGAAGAGACGCTGTACGAGAAGCAAGTAGTTGTTGAATCTATGTGAAGAAAAAAGAAAAAATTTATTATTTATACTACATAAAAATGAATTGAAAAAGAAACTTTTCTTAGAGGTTTAATCAAGTTTCAACACAATCAAGTATTGTTCTGCTCTCATTTGAAGAGGCTATAGAATGATGTTCGGTGTACTTACATTATTTTGTGAACGTTGAGCAGCTTCAGTTAACCTTTGTGTATTTGCTGTTTGTTGTGTTTGAAGTGAATTGTTATTAGCATTTGTAAATATTTGCCGAATTTGCTGTGTAGTCTGTTGAACTGAAGATGATGTTTGCGTTTGATTTGATAAAAACGCAGCTGCAGTTCGTAATTGCTGAGCAGGATTATTTGAAGTCATCGTCGTCGTTGTTGTTGTTGTTGCTGTTGCTGTTGTTGTATTTGTTGTTAATTTATCTAAATAGAAAAACAAATGTTATCGAAATAAATTTTAATATTCAAACTGCAGTTGAAAACAAATTCGACTTACTTTGAGGTAATGTTACATTTAAAGAAGGAAGATTTAATGGTGACGTTGGAGTAATAGAAGTTGATGGACTTTGTACTGAGCGAACAACAGCAACCGGAAGAGATGATGAAGGCTGCATAGAATGAAAAATGAACATGAATGGAATGCATGCAATTTTATTAATTATTCTACTTACATTTGATGATTGAGAATGTTTCGCTTGTGATTGGATAAGACAATCAACTTGCGCGTGTGTTAACGAGGGCGTGCGTTGATTTGTTGGTGTTGCTGATGGTCGTGTTGCTGTTTGTGGTTGTTGCTGTTGAGATTTTGGAGATGGTGGAGGCTGTGAACGAACTTCAAGAGTAGCTAATGGTGTCGTCTAAAATAAGAAACAAATTATTGCAAGATGTTATCTGACTTTTGGAATGGATCTAATTCAAAACATTGTCTTTTCGCTGGAAAAAATTGATATTAATTCAAGACTTTCACAAAGTTATCTCCCTATTCGATGCATGAGTTTTTTTGTTTTGGCAATTGCATTACTAATATTCTTAATTACATTCTGTCAGTAAAACATTAAGATCTCGAAGAATCTGTACTCTATTCAATGCAAATAAAGAGTTACATACTTGACTTTGACTTCGTTGATAATTTGGTGGTCGAACTTGAATATTAGTGGATGCTGATGATGTATTTGCTGTTGCAGTTTGGTGCTGTTGATGAACAGCTCGTACATGACGATAATCAGTTGATGAAATTTGCACTGCAAAAATAAATACAATTAGAGACACAATAAATGAACAAGAAACTATCATCTAACCTGTTCCAACTTGTTTTTGTTGTAATGTATTTGTTTCATTTATCAAGTTGTTATTCGGTGGTAAAACTTGTACTGGTCGCTGTCCAGGTAAAATAGTAGTTGTTGAAATAGATGGTTGATTGGATGCAGGAATTTGATTAATTGATGTTGCTGATGAAGATGTTGTCTATAAAATGAATGACTCAAGTATGTTGTTTCTTTTAAAGTTGGTATATATTTATACATACATTAGTTCGCGACTGTACAATATTACTTTGAGAACGAGCTGGATTCATATTTGGATGATTGTTACTTGCTACAATAATATTACTCGAAATAGATCGTTGGATTGTAGAAGAATTTGTTGGTGAAGAAGATGAAATAAGTGAGAGAGAAGGCGAAGAAGAATTGATTGGTGTTGGTGTGGTATTTAATGCAGACGGTCGTACCTAAGCAAAATAATAAATGAAACAATAGACAATAAAAATAGTAACAATTTACTCGAGTATTATTCGTTGATATCAATCCTGAATTGGGAGGAGGTGTTTGTTGTTTAATAGTATCAATATTATTTTGTGTTACTGAAATTTGCTGCTGTTGTTGTTGTTGTTGTTGTGAATGAATATTTCCAGTAACGGTTTGTTGTGGTTGTGGTGTTTGTTGTAGTTGTTGTTGTTGTTGTTGTTGTTGTTGTTGTTGTTGCTGTTGTTGTTGTTGTTGCTGCTGCTGCTGCTGTTGTTGTTGTAATTGTTGTTGTTGCTGTTGTAGTTTTAATTCTTTCTCTCGTTCTGATCGTTGATATGCAACATCACTTGGTGTTAAAGGTATGTCAAGATTAATATCTAGAAGAAGAAGAAGAAATAAAGTATATGATAAGGTAGATTCTAAATGTTTAACATACTATTTTCTTGTAAAAGTGAACCTATTTTTAAACCTCGTGTTTGATGGTGTGCAGCTTGCGCTAGTTGTATTTGTTTAAATTTATTTAAATAAATCATTGGTGATAATTGGTGTTCGAATTGTGAAATAGTATCAAATTTTTGATTATAGATTTGTAATAATTTTTGACAATTATCATGAACAAATAATTGATTTGTACGTAACATTTGCCAATTATCATCGGACATCTTAAAAAAGAAAATAATTATTACTGATATGTGTAGCTCTCAAAGTCTCTCGCATATTGAAAAGCTGCTAAGAAATATATTTCCATGGAGCGTTCTGTAGTATAGAAAAGTTTCTGCATGTCAATCTTACCTTTACAGTTCCTTTAATAACATGTTTCTTCTTTTTAATTAAATCATAAACAACGCGACCTTCTTCTCGTGGTCCAATAACTTGTTCAAAACGATGTTTACATTGTTTTGGTGTGCGTAATACACGTGAATAACGATTGACAATATCGGAAATGAAGTCCCAATTTTGTGTTAATGCATTTGTTGTATTATTAACAATTGATGATGATGGCGATGATGCCGTTGTTGCTGTCGCGGTTGAAGATGGTAGTAATGGTGATGCTGATAAAGATGAATTCGATAACATGCATTGAGGTTTATTTGCATTTGCTGTACTTGAAAATGACATAGATGTCAATGGGAGTTGCTGTATATTTTGAATAGTATCCAATACTTTAAAATCTTCGGATATAAGCCAATCGCTATTATCTATTTCAAGTAAACCTTGTAGATTATCTTTTGAAAGCATATCTTCTAATTTAATAGGACGTGAGGATGTTGGTGTTGATGCTGGGACAATAACATTTGTATTCGAAGAATTAGGAAGTGGCGTAGTTATTGTACCATTATTAACATATAATTGACGAGCTTTGAGATTTGGCTGAGGTGTAGTTGATGTTGGAATAGTGGTTGGGAAGAGTTTTGTATTATTATTATTATTATTATTGGGTATTTGTTTTGATTTATTGAACATATTAGTTGATAATGATGATGATTGAGTGTTAAGTAATAGATTTGATCGATCGAATAATGAACGTGGCACAAGAATATTTGTATCTGATTTTGACGTATTTGTCGTATCCATAAGTGCTAAAATAAAAGAAACACATCAATACAATTGCTACAATTTCGGCTCGTTGAACAAAGTTAAATGAGCACGAATCAAAAGTGTCAATTTATTTTATAAGAGATTGTTCTTATTAATATGATTCTTATTGCATGATTGTTCTGGAAGATTATCTCAATTTGTTTCATTGGAAAAGATTATTATGTTAAAATCATAATATTGTCATCAAGTTTTTACCTTTCGGCAGCGGAAAACGAATATATTCTTCTGGTTCAATAATCATTGCTTCTGATTCATAACCACAATCAAGTTCATCATCATTATACATTTCTTCGAATTCATCTTTGGTGCATTTCATCAAAATACCAGACCATACCTATAAATAATTTCAATTAATAAAAATCAATGCAAAAGAAAATTAAAAGTACAAACCTCAAATGCTTGACCGTCTTCTGTAATCCAAATCTAAACAAAAATTAATATATATTAATCATGTTTCTATCTCTTTGGATTCACTGGAAAAAATCTCGAATCAAGATTGATCTCTATCAAAACAGGTATAACATAAGGGGGGGGGGGGGGGGGGGGGGGGGGGGGGGGGGGGGGGGNCTATCAAAACCGGTATAACAAAACCCCCCCCCCCCACCCATCCCCTTGTGGATACTTTTCTCATAATGTGGCAAATAAATCGTGCATATGAGTAAAAGTAGATTTATATCTCACCTTTCTTTCAGTGTCTCGTGCATATGTATAGATCATAGTATCATCTTCTTGTTCCAGTAGTTTTTCTTCTTTTTCTTTCAATATTTGTAGACGTGATTCCTGCCAATCTTTTCGAAGTTGATCCGCATCAATCTAAATCGCAGATAAAAAAAACAGTTCATTTAAGTTCTACAGAAACAGAAAAAAATAGTTTACATAAAAATTTGAACCAGTTTGAGAAATTTGAAAGTCAGGACGATACGATTCAATACAACGTAAAGCATATCTTTCGATTGGTAGAAGCTAAAATAAAAAATGAAAGTGTTACTGTTGTTTATTTAATTGTCGCTTGTTAATACTTGTTCATCAAATGTATTTAATTCTTTATTAAGTTTATTCATTCGTTGTTTTTCAATTAATTCATCTTCATCTTCATTGAATTCATCCAGTTCAGTTTTAATTTCTTCATTCAATTGTTTTACAGCTTGACAATCAATTTCATCTTCAACTGAAGCAAGAGCTTCTTCAAATTGTTTCAATGTTAAATTACAATCTGTTGCAGTTGTTGAACAATTGGATGCTAGTTTTTCTTGATTTTCATTTCGCCCAAGTGATATATCTTCTGTCTTTAGTGATTGATCAAATAATTCAAGAATATTACTCTATAAGAAATAGATTGGTTTTTTATTTTCAAAAGCAAACAAAGTCTGGCAATTCAAAATTTTAGGGGACAATGCTTTAGTCTCAATATTAGAACAAAATGATAGGTAAAGTTGAAAATATGGCCAATACATATTAGTGATAAAGCTTACCTTTTTGAAATAATTTACATCCAAACGACCACCATGAATTGTTGAATCACCGAGAAAACGCTTTTCATTTGCTTTTTTCAAAATATTTTCTTCAATTGTATTCTTACTAACAAATCTTTAAGAAGAAAAAAAACATAAAATAATCTATTTTTTAAAGCATAATATGTATTCATACCGATAGATGTTTACGTCTTTGCTATTTCTAATTTGATGACATCGATTTTGTGCTTGCGCATCTATTGTAGGATTCCAATCTGAATCATAAAAAATCACAGTATCAGCACCGGTTAAATTAATATCTATTCCTCCAGCACGTGTTGATAATATAAAAACAAATATTTTTTCATCACAATTAAAACGTTCTATTAGGCTTCGCCGTTGAATAACATCTGTTGTACTATCTAATCGTAAATATGTATAGCCATGATAATTTAAAAATAATTCAACAATATCAAGCATTTTCGTCATTTGTGTAAATAATACACAACGATGTTTATTGCGTTTTAAATCCGATAAAAGTAAATCAAGTGTTTGTAATTTACCACAATCATATTGAATAAATCTTTGTTCAGGAAATTGTAAAAACGTATTTTGTCTAAGGAATCGAAGAGCATCAAAATCAACAGACGATAAAATTTCTATTAGTGGTTGCTTTTGATTTCTCTTATTTATTAGACGAATTCCATTTGATTGGCACAGTTCAGTGGGCGATGCTAACACACGGGTTGTACACATTAGAAATCTAAATAATAGTACCAATCGAATTAATATACATGTATGAAAGGATAGGTTAAAATCTTAGAATTCCCGAAAGGAGCTATCATTATTTTTTTGACTGAGAGAGAACATGTGAAGTTACAGGCTATTATGAAACAATTTTCTTTTCCATCATTTTATCAAATTCTCAGGAAATACAATTTTATAGTTAAAAAAAATGTGTAAACTTTGTTCGATGACCGATATTTTCTAGTGATAGAAAGAAGTGCATAAACTCATTATAGTTACCGTTTGAGGATATCTCGACAGTCATCGAATATATCTTGATTTGTTTTAATTAAAGTTCGAAGAGTGTCCGTGTTTGACATATAATTTCGTGTCGTAGTCAATGATTCATCTGCTCGTTGACATAATGTATATCCACTAAATGTTACTCGATTAAAATTTTGACATGGATTCATAACTAATTGAATTTGTGAAAGAAGGTCACGACCATAAAATGGAAGATATTGACAACGTTCTGAATTAATTTGAAACAGTAATTCGTAGTGAGATAGACGATCGTCTTGATTTTTTTCCTAAAAAAACGATAATATTGAGAAGTTCACTAGTTACAATCTTCGTTGATATAACTTGTGAACTTACATAAATAGTTTCAGATTGAAATTCATCATCGCTTAAATCATCTAATAGATTTTGTTGTATTTTCGAATGATTTTGAAGATCTAAATGAAAGTTAATTTCACAAAAAAAGAAAAGTAAATAATCTATAGTCTATACTTGTTGTTTGATTCCATATAGTACTATTTCTATATCTGTCAATAATACTTGTGGTTAATTGAATTCGTTGTTGATAAGCACTATGAGTAATAGTATTCATAAACATCTCTTTTGTTAATTGTAAATTTAATTGAACTCGATAACAAAGAAATGTATCATTAGGTTCGACATTATGAACTACGTATGGGTTTTTAAAATCAATATCAGCAATAAATTTTGGTATTTCATATTGAATTAGATATTTTTGAAACACAAATGGGGATATGACTGGTCTTGATTCAAATAGATCTGGATGATTACAAATTTTTCTTAATTGTATAAGTATATTAATTACAGACATAAGATTTCCTTGTTGAATAATATCACGTGTTGATTTACATTGAATAAAATCATTGTATAATTGCTGTTGTCTTTTCGATAAATTACACATAACAATATGTTCATGTTCTTTTGGCATTTGTTTTTCTACATTAGTTTTCAAACGCCGTAATACAAATGGACGTATGATTGTATCTAAACGTTTTATTAATGAATCGTTTGTTTCTGTTGAAGGATTTGAAAACAATTGACGAAATTCTTGATGTGATGAAATTAAATTTGGCATTAAAAACTGTACTAATGATTTAAATTCTATTAAGGAATTTCCTAATGGTTTATTTGTTAATATTAAACGACGTTGAGAAGAAAGATTTAATAACGTTTGCCAACATTTGGATTGAAAAATTTTTACATTTTGAACTTCATCTAAGACTAAATATTTCCATTTCTTACGACTGAATGAAATTGCATCTTGCAGTATAAGTTTGTAAGATGTTATACAAACATGAAATGCATTTGACTTAGTCCAAGCTCGCCGTTTTAATTGACGTTCTTTTACTGAACCATAGTAGTTTAAAATTTTCAATCCTGGACACCATTTTTTTAGTTCGAGTTCCCAATTAAGCATCAAACTTGTTGGAACAACAATTAAATGTGGGCCCCAAACACCTATAAAGAATACATTTAATTAGCTATAGCGATTTTCTATAAATAGAAATTTTCGAAAAAAAATTATGATCGGTCTATTCGATAGACTTTTTTTCAAAGGTCTAGATTGGTCAGAATTTGGAAATCATTTCTTCAGATAGAAAATCGATTAACTTAGACTCAAAGTTATACCGGCTAGAATTTTACAATGATATTACCTTTTTCACAGGCTAGATGAGCAAGTAGAGCAATTGTTTGTATTGTTTTACCTAAAACAAGATTTAAAAAATAATATAAGAATACATAATTATTATTGGAAAATAGTTTTCAAATGTTTTACAAACAGAGCATTAAAAATGGATTATATTATCGATACCTGACCCTAAATCATATGTCTCGTTACTAAGAAACACACTGTATTGATGTCAGCAATGACATTAGAGATATTCTTGTCTACACAATCCTCACATTAACTAGTTTTTACTCAATCCGAAATTGTGGATCATACAAGTTAGATTTCAACTTGATAACTTTTCTTTTCTAATAATAAATAAATCAATTTACCTAAACCGGTTTCATCTGCTAATATACAATTAAATTTATTTTCATAGAATTTGACAAGCCAATCTAGACCAACATGTTGATATTCTCTTAATGGATGTTTCAGTAGGAAAGGCACTAATGTTTTCATAGATGTAGTATCACGTGTACATCCAGTCGGCTGAAACGATTGAACTTTTATTTTTAAATCATTTATTTGTTGATCAGTTTCAATTGAATAATTTTCATCAGGTTCATTTGACATTGATTCTTCATCAAAGTTTTCACTAATATTACTATCACTTAAACTATTTTCTTCTTGTTGTTGTGGTAAACTATTTTCTATTTTATTTAATGGACTCCATTGATCGATTCCATAATGTCGTTTTAATAAAACATCAATGGATTCTTGTTGATCTATTTGAAGTTCTTGAATTTCATTTAAAGAATATTCATCCTGTTCATTTTGTTCCTCTTGTTCAATTGTATCTTCTTCATCATATTCCTCGTCACCATCAACCATCAAATTTGAATCTAATTCATGCTTATGCAGCCCTTGCATACGTGCACTTTGTTTATATTCTGCTAGTTTATTAATATTTTTCCAGAAATTCATAACCTCTTTACAAATAAATTGCGATTGTTTCCGCCATCCTTTCAATTCATTACGTTGTTGTTGATTTTCTAATTGATTTTTATCTTGAAAGTATTTGAGAACAGCTTGAGAAATCTTTTTTGCCATAGCTTGTTTCCAACGTTTTTCAAGTGCAAAATCTTCTGCTAGCCAACGCATTTCATCAAGTAAATAATCCCAATGTGTTTTACGTTTATTTGGATCTAAACATTTAGCTAACCGTTGATTTGTCCATTTACCATCGGATTTTAATTCTTCAATACGTTTTAATATATGTGTTTCATGTTTGACACGATCAAATGATTGATTCAAAGAACTTATTGATTGATATCTTTGACGTTTACCATTCCGCGACGATGACAATGGTGTTGGTGGTGTTGACGATGTATTATTACTATCATGTAAATTTTTTTCAACTTTCTCAATAAGATCTTCTTCAGCTTGAATAAAACGTTGTTCATCTAAGGATAAATCTGGACGATCACACATTTGTAAATCAACATATTCACGAACTAAATTACGATGAGCTTGAACAATATCATTAAGAGAAGAAAACATCGATTGAACATAATTATTATCAAACGTAGAATTATTAGTTGGAGATGAACTACGAACGCGTTTACACGACGTTTGTTCAATGTCTACATCATTTTGAATCGTATTTGATGAACGACGTCGTTTTAAAGTATTAGACGTCGATTCATCATCTATAGTTGCGGCGGTATCTACCGCAGAAGTCATCTACAAAAATTATCAATTGATTCAATTGAAAGTTTGAACATATTCTCATAGGCAAATGAATGATAACCAAGTTTTCCTTCTCTTTTTCTACCATTGAAGTGTAACTACATGGGCCTCTATGTCAACTCGCAAATGGATTGGTTTATTTCGACATAAGAGCAGCACATGATGACTATCGACATCTATCAGAAACTAATTTCAGCAAAAGATTGAATAAAATGAATGTATTCTTGCGAGAAAAGTTGTTTGAAGAAGAAATAAAGATTGCAGATTTGACGATAAAAAATTGTCATGAAAGTTTTATGGAATATGATGCACATCATATTTCGAACAAACTAATGAAGAAAGAAAAGTTCGATGAAGAAGAGTTTTAAAAGATACCATATATAGTTCAAACAACATATTATTTTTCATATTGAAATGAAGACTTTTTGTTTATAATGAAATGAAATATACTGTTGTTTTGACCTGTCGTTTTCAGCATATTTTCGATCGGTTAGTTTTTGTAGATCTACCCAGTTCGAGCATTATGACGACTAGATACGACCGTATCTCACCGTGTCGTATACGGCAGAACGTAGCGACTGTTTAGAAGCCGTATCCGATCATATCATAGACAGGAAACGACCAAGCACTGCAACGCATACGACCGTAACAACACCGTAACCGACCGTGTACGACCGTAATTCTGAACAAAAAAAAATACATTCATAAACCCCTCCGATCGATAGTGAGCACACTACAGACATCAATTCTACTACGATAAAACGTATTTTTCTTCTAACTTTCGGACGGTCCAACATAGAAATCTGGGAAAAGTCTCACCTTGTAGAGAATTTAATTTTCTACGATCCTCGTGTACGTTTGAAATTTATAAGGCGGTAATTAGTAAAACCAAAAATGTTAGATTCTACAATCGATCACTTATCCGAAATGAAAATTCTTAGAATTCCTTGCTGCCACAGAACTGTTTGCACAGACAAGTAAACGATTTGGTTCAGTTTTTCACGGTCTTTGTCATGCACTAGTAGGCATTGAGAGTGATTCCATAAATTATTTTGTCATCACATTCTTCGCTGCCATTAAAAAAGACACAATTTTAATGGACATCTTAAAACAACAGTCTATTGATGAACGAAAACTTTTCTCAAAGTGTAGAGCATAAAATTCTACATTGACTGACGTTTCTTTCGCTGTTCTAAACTGAAATTTCTCGGTCAATAAATACGAAATACTAAAACGTGTCTTGAAATTATGTGCACTGGGAAAAAAACCGTTCACCTAATAAAACATCCAAAACGCATGTAATGCTGAAAATTTTTTCAGGCTACATAGTTCATAATACGACCAAATATAATGATGAAGAAATCAGGCCCCAAGCCATAAATACCGCTGAGTTATAGCAAAAAAACTGAAATTTCTTAAAATTGAGTCCAGTACTTAACATACTTCAAAAAGTCGTTTTGTTTCTACTATATGTTTCGACATATAGATAATTTCGTTTTCCTTTTGAGTCCTATTCACGTGTCAAAATCGTTTTTCTTCTACTACCTCTCGTAACAGGTAGTAGAAATTCCGTTCCAAGTATGTATCTCAGGTAGTTTTGAAATACCGTTTTTATTATTATTTAGGAGCTCTAGGAAGATCGAGAAGTATAGTTCTCTGTTTTTTTTCTCTTCTTCAAAATGTTCTTTATGTTAACGATTGTTTTCCGAGCCTCTTCTTTTCCATTAAGTTAGGTGTTTCTCTGTTTTTTCGATTTAATCGGTAACGCTGTGGTCCAGTTTTGTTGACTGTATAGTTCCTTCAAAAATAAACTCCTTCCTAGTAAAGTGAGGTTAACTTGATTCTTCATTGACATATAGAACCACATAACCATTAGTGACATCGATTTTCACAAGAAAATAACGGAATGCTTAATCTCCAATATTATCTGTTCATATAAGATCTTATTGATGGATCATACAAGAATCTTACCGTAATTCTTGATGTAAGATTTCAGAGACGATGATTTTTCGTCGGATCTTACATGATCATATACGATAATGATGTACAATCCGATACGATCGGATAAGAATCTGTGACCGATCTTGCTGTCTGATTTCTAGCCCTGAGTAACCTCTAAAACGCTTCTTTGTACTAAATAGAATTTTTATAATTTTTTGAAATTTCCCCGTGGGATCCGTCAATAATTCCGAAACCCAGAATTCAATTGAATTTCCTCGGCTAGTAGAATGTTATAGGATCCGATAGAATTCTTGGTCGGATTAGTCGAACTGGGATGCAGCAATTAATTTCTTGTTTGGCTATTTTTGTAATGCTTTTTTCAATAACATTTTTCAGTTAACTGGTTAGTTTCTGTGATCTCGGGTTCAATCATACATTAGATATCACGTTTATAGACAATCAACATCTAGCCAGAAAATCGACAGATATCATCATTGTAAAAAATAAAATACTTTTCAACTGGCCCACATTCATAAATACAAAATGAGGACTAGAATCAGATTGAAATGAATTAATCAATTTTCAAACCGTTTTTATCAAAAACAACGTGAAAAAAATCGAAATTTCATGGATTACGCAATACACACTGACTATATTTGATTAAGACTTCATAAAAACTAGAGTGTAACTGGTGCAAACTACGTTAAGACTTTTCATTGGTCATAGAGAAAAAAATTTAAGTCTTATGATAATAATCAAATTTGAATCCTATATTTTTGCATGGACAGACATAGTTTTCCCAAACAGTGAGGCTACTCTAGGCTGGAATCATTCCGCCGTCTCTGCATCGGTGTGCTCAGGCGTTATTTAACATAACTATTAAAAGTGAATATTATAACACTATAGTGCACTGTGGGATTGAAACTTTTCATCATGATCGCGGTCACGATTTTTTTTAAATAAAATTCACGATCACGAATATTTCTATGTGATTATAAGAAGCACGAAAACGTTTTGGTCGGTTTTCAATATTTCCCCAACGTATTTCATTCGGTACATTCAATGTTCATAGAAATTAACAGCCACAATCGATTGCTTTCATTTGTATTCTAGTGGAAATTTTATGAAAACAGAATAAATTTTAATAAATATTTGAGATTTGAAACTATATGTTAAATTCGTGACCACAAAATCTTAATCTCGTTCACGATACGATCACGAGCAAAAGACATTTCTTATACTCACAGTCACAATCACGTAGTACACAGGCCTCGAAATCGGGCCACTTTTTCATCGCCCAATCCAGCCCAAAGCGGATCATAAGTTTTATAAGCCCGCTCGGCCCAGTTAAACTTAAGTCTGACCCGACCTGGCCCGACTAAGCTACAACTAGAAACAATTTTTACGTTCATTTAAATTCATTCAAGGAAAAGGAATCATTTTTACCATCATGCCACGAATCATCAAGAACATCATGAAAAAGATAAAAATTAGTGTAATCATCGATTCATGATGAAAAGTTTTATTAAATGACTTATTCAAGTAACAAAAAATATACATAAGTGCATAGAAAAAGAAACAGAAAATTCTTGTTTTCACATAGAAAACATACTGGGATTGTTCTGAATTGCTTTTTGGATTGACAGAATAAATAATACATTTTGAACACTATCCGAATTTAATGATGATCTTCGTTCATTAACAAGAAGACCAGCAGCGCTGAACTGACTGACGTTCAACGTATGCTGGTGTTGCTGGAATGGAATACATTCGCCTAGCTAATTTTGATAAATAAGGAAGTTTGTTTTGATGATGTTCCCAGGCTATTAACGGGTTGGATATTTTAAATTGATCATTCACTGACATTTTCAAATACCTAATTATTTCATCAGTTTGATTTGTTGTTGTACCAGTTGAAACAAACGTTTCATTATCATCAACCGGATCGAGAAATTGATATTCAATGGTTCTATGTTTTTTCTTTACTGGTTCAGAATTTGTTGACATGAGATTATTCACTTGTTGATGTAATTCATAGCCACATAATTCTGTTAATAATTGACGTACATAAATATGAGTTTTACTTCTTTGGTAATCATTCACGAAAGTTTATTTTCTGTAAAGTGGATGTAGTAAGCACCAGCCAAATCTTCGCCTGATAAATACAATTTTAATCTCTAGTGACGCCTATGTATGGTAATAGAAAAATCAGCTTGAAATGTCGGACCGGACGGTCCGCCAAAAGGATAGAGCGCCCGACCTGTGCTAAAATTGTCTCTGGGCTGGACTGGGCCGCCGGGCCGGGTGGCTCGCTTCGAGACCTGATAGGTTTCTTGTTTGTTGATAGATGATTTTCTCTCATTTCTTGCTGAATATGATTTCTTTTTATCACATATTGAGAACTTCTAAAATAGTAATTGGTCTGCTACTGTTAACTGGTCAAAAATACTTGTCAGAACAAGCGTTTGTTAGCACTTAACATCAACTTGCAAAATCTTCTCGATGAATCAATATAATTATATTTGAATTGTTTTTCTTCCTCGCACCTCCATCAAGTTATTGTCGCTACGACTACATAAAGTAAAAAAAGCTACACAAATTTTTATCCATTTCTTTTTCATTGAGTCAATGACGACTAAAATAGAAATTCGGTAGTAGAAATCGAAATTAAATAAAAATAAACTCTGCGATATTATTATTCAACTTTATTTCACTCTCCCTCTGTTCTCCGTCGAAATAGTTTGATTAGAATCGAATAGCATCCATGAAATAAAAGTAATAAAATCATTGCCCCACTAAATATCATTACGGTCAAATATGAGGTACTAGACTCGGTTGTTACGAAATATAACCTTCCTCAATATTTAAATAATTATCATTATGAGTACTCGAATTATAACTGATAACGACGTTGTTGAGCTGTTTACTGTTATTAGTCTTGCTACGTATTATGTATATTTTGACTATAGAATAAGGAATACTGATGTATCTCATTGTTGACCTTCTATATTAACCGAAACCATCAAACGCACGCTTTTTTTATTGTGTATGTTAGGGATAAATAAGACAATCTCACTTTTTCACTCATGCTCTGTTTTAATCATTGATATTTTTCTACAGTGGAAAATTCATTTGCAAAAAAACTTAACTCTTAATACCCAGGTGATTGAATCCGATACCGAATCCGATCGGATCTTATAAAATCCGACGAGCAGACAAAGTCCCATGAGATTCCGGGTTGAGGAGCTACTAACGGATCCCTAGTGTTGGAATCCGGTAAACATCCAACCAAACCCAACAACCGAATTTGATAGAAATTTTAGAAGTCGGACTCCAACGAGGTCCTAAAGAAACATATCGGGTTTTCACTGGTTCCTGCAAGAATCGATCGGATTCCAATACTATGGACCGGTGAGTGGGTCCGCAATCCGGATTTGCTTAGAATCCTGCAGGAACCGATCGAAACCTGATCGAGTCCGGTTGGATCCAGGTATCGGATTGTTCGTCCTGGGTAGACATGAAATTACACACTAAATAAAAATGCGTCGACTTTATGTGTCGCGAATTTTTGTGTCGCACTTGTAATTAAAAAAACTGTGTCGTATATTTTTCGCGTTCTGTCTGTCGGCTAGTCGTTCACTGTTTTGTTATGAACATACAGCGGCATATAAATAGCATCGCTGAACACATGAAACATAAGTTTTCAAAATAAAATTTTCTTTTAAATTAATTCTTGACTGCTTTTCAATCAAGGAAATGCCATCCCGATCCATAATTTGGGAAGGACTGCACTGGATGGTCTGATGGGAATAGGACCAATGCCAAATCAGCCAGATCTGAGGATCTGATGAGATTAAATTTTCAAAAAATAAGAAAATATATTAAATTAAATTCAAAAAATACTGAAATATGCGTTTCAAAGTGACCAATAGAAAATGTGTCGGATGTGCTGTGAAAAATGCGTCGTCATCTTGCTGGACAGAATGTGTCGCAACGAGCACCTCGTGTTGTGCGTTGTGTCGTAGTTTACGACACATCCGACACATTTTTATTTAGAGTGAAAGCTGAATATGTTCTAAGAAATTTGTTTTATTGCTGCTTCCGATTAACAATCGTTTTTAACTCTTTAAGAATATCAGGAGAATTATAACCCCGTGGTAAATCAACAAATTGTTCATCTCTTTGAGCTGCGTACACTTGACCTTCTTTCATTCTTTCAACTTGCTCTTTAATTAATTTTCCATTTATTGGTAAATCATACAGTTCTTGTACTAAACGGAAAATTTCATCAATCTGCACAGAATTATCAAATTGTTCTTTTGACGATCAATTATTTTGAGAAGTAACACTTGCATTGTATAAATTAACTTCATCATTATAATCTCTAATCATTTTTTCTAGACCTTGAATAATCTCTGAGTTATCAGCTCCTGTTGATTTCTTTTGTTTTTCTTCATTAATAAAATGTTGAAAGTATTGAATAATATCATCATTAAATGGGGTTATTGAATTTCGTTTCAAAAATTGTGAAAGTTTAGCACATATTTTTCTTATTGATGTTTCTTCATTTCTTAAATCAGATATTCTTGTGTCAATGATTTTCATAATTGATTGAGGTTTTCGAACTGAATTTGAATTATCTATTTTAATATATGTTAAATTTCTTTCGTATCTGTATGTTATATGCATATGCTTAGTCCAACTACAGCCACATTCACGGCATGAGCCTGTAAATAATAAATCAAATGTGATGATGTAATTTCTGTATGAGTAGAATGCTGAGTAAGATGCAGTTGCTAATACTAAATACGATCGAGTTATTCCATTCTAACCGTTTCATGGAACACATGTCTTGTCTATTCTACTATCTGATTGTCCAGAAATATACGTTTGAAGGTAGTTCATATAGTGTAAACAAATTTTATCAAGACACAGACTTCGATTGACAACGAAGAAAGATTTGAGATAGTTTCTATGACAAATCTACTCAAGATAAGACTTTAACTCTTTCAAAGTTTAATCAATTATTCGAGCGCACCTCACAAATACTAGAAAATGAAATAATGCAAGAAAACTATTCAATATAAATAACCCTTGAAGTACCAGCATCTGTTTTTTGAGTGATTTTTTAAAATATTTCGGTTTATTGTAATCGTAGAATCGCTGAACTCTACTGGAATGAATATTAGGAATTTTATATTAAACAGGGAAGTCGGTTCAAACATCTATATCGATACTTCAATACTCGTTTGAAGTTTTGTTTCAAAATGAAATACCAATTAAAAACTTTTGAGGCAAAAAATTGATTGACAAACCTGTTTTCCTAAGTGCTCGACATCGTTTTATAATTGGATGACCAATACATTCTTGTACAACTCTATGTAATGAACAACCAACATGACAATTACTTTTATAATTAATTCGTTGTTCACCGTTATCATTAATAATTTCTGTACATTTTTCATCAACACAAACAGTTAATCGTTCTCGAAGCGGAATAAATGCACCAGTTTTTTGTGGAATTCGATTTGAATCTCTATCGTCGGAACTATTTACAAGTTTTTCTTTATATTTTTTAGCTAACAGAATATTTTCTTGGATCAATGTAACGATTTCACCGATAGGTCGAGATAGTTTATGTATTAATAATTGAGCTTCATTCAATGATTGCATATCTTTCACAGCATGAAGATCACATTGAAGAATGCGAATAATAAGGCGAGAAAATTGTTCAACAGATTTATTCCAACTATCACTATAACTATTTTTATCCTTGTGTAAAAACTTGTGTCCTTGTTTACAAACAGCTAAGAAACGAAATGATTCATTATCGAACATAAATGTATTTTGTGTATTAAATGGCACTTCAACGCCAGTTTTTTCATGAAGTTCTCTAAGAAGAACTTTTAATAGTGTTGTTGTTTCACCGGGTCGATAAAATGTTGCTCGTGAATTTGTAAATACAAACATAATATTATCTTTTGCATTGACATGTAAATGTCTTAATAATTCTTTGATACAATAACGAAAAAAAATAGTTAATCGTGTTTCGGCTGGTTTAAGAAGAATACAAATTCCATTTAAATGTTCATAATTGCTTACATAACTAAGAATATGTTCGAAATTTCTTGCTTCATGATCCATACCTCGTGTATCACCGACGCCTGGTCCATCGATTAAACGTATTACACGATCTCCTATTTGAAATAAATAACTACGACATAATTGAGTTGATGATTGGCCATTATTTTCACTGTTTTCATTTTTATTAAGGGTTCCAACAGTCACATGGATGCTTTGATATGTTTCACTGTCTGCTACTGCGAATACAGAGGGAATTAATACTTTCAAATCACCTTTCAATGCATCATCGAGTGTATTATAGAAAAGACAATTTACAAATCCATTAATAAATGTTGTTTTACCAACACCAGTTTCACCTAACAGTAATATATTTATGTCTGTTTCAGGCGAGCGCTGAATTCGACGATAGTTAGCCATATTTCTATACCTTAAATGAAAACATTTTGCTTTATATTTTTACTTGGAAATTTTCTGTTTCGTTTCTTCGTAGGAAAAATGTTTTCTTTTTCTCTCTTCTACTTTACTTTTTGCAATCAGGTACACATCATGTTTCTATTACTTTATTATTGTCAATAGACTTTGTTGCTCAAATACTCCTGTTTAACGGCAAAATAAAGCAGCAACCGAACAGAGTCTGTTATTTATCAGGTAAGATGAAGACGTTTTTTAAAATCTATGATAAGATTAGATTTTCTGTATGTCTCATGATAGTAAACAATCAAAAGTTCTTTTTTTCAGTTTGACGCATATCATTAGTACAAACTTAATTAATACAATAGTTATACAATTTATCTCGGTAATAAGATAATATTGTTATTGTAACTTTCGTAGGAATTTTATTTTTCGTAAGCAACATACATAATCGAAATATATTAAAATTTATCATAGAATTGATATTTTTCACTAACTATCGACTTGTGTTAATATTTTTCATTCTTTTATTTGTTTAACAAGAAAATAACAGAGACATTCTCGTCACACACAGCTGCATGACTCATTAGTGAAATATTGCTGTGTGAAAATGCCTCAAATTGGTAAAAGATCGCTACGTTTTCACGAACATATGGGCTGGAATTTTTTGAAAGTAAATTTTGTGGGTATTGATCATTTTCCCAGTCCTTCATATCGAATATTAATATTTTTGTGAGACAGTTTACGAAAGCTCAGTCTACTTTACTCATAGATAGTCCGAATTGAGTGTCGCTCGATCTAGAGAAACGTTCGCTTCTCTCCAGCGGAAGGTAGGCGATTCGCTTCATTCTTTCTTAAAATTCTGTCAATATCGGAAAAAATTCTTCTAAAAAATTGCTCAAGTCATTGATTCTTCAGAATCCTGGCTTCATCAATTTGTTGACATAGAAATATTTAAAATGAAATAGTCTCTTTAAAGACAAGCTCAACAAATTCTCTTTTGATTAACAGATGGAAATAATTTTCATTATCTTTTTGCCTTCAATTTACATTGGATCTTTCCTCAACATAAAGCTTGCAGTCTATTTCTTTATCAGTTGCATGATAGATATTTTCTTTTCAAAGTAAAAATTGTAAAAAGATGCGTTCATCATTCATTAGCAATAAAAAATTTGAGTAGTCTTTCAAAAGCAGAAAAATTGAATGACGCAACAATTGAAAAGATTTTCTCGAATTCTATTTCTTTCTCTCAACACTTAAACCAAAGTGAAAATTGAAACCGCAGAAATGTTTTCGTTTGAAATCAGATTATAGCGGTCAGAATAATGCATTTATGTTATTAAATCCTGATTCATGGCGATGTTGGCAGTTTTTATTATAATTTATCTTGATTCGTTTAGTGTTACGTATCCACCACATAATTAAATGCCACTAAGAAAGTACTTTGATGCATTTTTAAATGCGGCTGTTGGAAATGTTCCAGAAGCTAACGAGCCGGCCTTAATTAATTTGAAACGTATAGCGATTGATCAATCGGGTTCTATCGGATCATTCTACAATGCATGTGAAGACAATATCACTGGTAGATTGAACGCCACGGTGAAACCTGAAATTCGTAAATCACTTCAGCAAATTGTATGCAAATTGACTAAGGGACGTGTAGCTGAATGCCAAAATTTACTTAAGTTTGCTGATATTGATCATCAGTTACGATTAAGCATATGTTTAGAATTAATTCGTGTAACTGGAATTGCTTCGGTAATAAATAATCCTCCACTAATTGACGATCACACTAGACTTTTTTATATTTATCAAGAATCATCTATAGAATTCTATGAAAATGATTTACATAAGTTGAAAAAATCGGTAAAATTGTCCACATGTGAAACATTCGCGACCCATATTATAACTGAAATCGTTTTGGGTATTCATCTCCTGCTCATTCTACGATTACCTCTTGGTTATGAAAATCCAATCGATATGTTTCTACAGAAATGGAAAGAAAATCTACTTAATAGTAAGCCTATGGTAAAAATAGACGCACAGCTAAAAACTTTACTTGATAAAGTCCTCTCAACTACAGTTTATTCCAATGTCGATGCTCTCACTAAAATGAAAAATTTGCCAGATATCTATGAGAAACTCATTAAATTACAAACGAATGATAATGAACACAAAAAATTAAAATATGTTCTTTGTCCTATTCGTTGGCTCTTTGATCGCCATGGTGTAAACTTACCAGATTTTATCTCATGCCAACCGGAAGAAGTAGAAAATCTTGAACATTATTTGATGCAACAAAAGTCTGAATTAAAACTATTGAATTTTCGTATTAATCATGATTTATCAGAGTTACTACAAGGCAGTTGCCAGTCAGTATTCAAAACTATTACAGAAGAACTTTCAAAATTACAAGCTTTACACATGAATGATATTGAACGACTTAAGACTGTAGTGTTAAAAATTCGAAAGGGTATAATACCTCTAAGCTCATTAGAGAAACAGGTCAGTTTGGATCCACCAATAGATATTCAACAGTTGATTAAAAATATTACTACTCGTGCTAAAGAGTTAGAATTCAGAGTAAAACGTATAAAACAAATGAGGGAGAACGGATTTGAGTATTGCGATGTTGAAAATTTAGGTATTACTGATCAACTGAAAGAAAATCGTATTCGGGATATGCTGTTGGGCAATGATTCTCGCAAAGTTATACTTTTTTCAAACGATGAATTAATGAAAAGTGATGAATTAACTTTCACTGAGCTCTACTCTGAAATGATCGAGAAAAGAAAAAAGAATCCAGGAATATGTCTTGTCTATGCTGATTTCACTTCTTCGACATACAAACTTGAAAAGACATTAATTGTATTATCAGACGATTTGAAAGAGAAACAAAATCAATCGCAATCTCCATCAACTGTCAATAATATAAGAGAAAGAAGTCCATCACCACCACAACCATCCTTACAGCAGACATCGTCACAGTCACTAGACCAAACACTCCCGATTTCATCATCATCTAATGAATTTATTAATATTCTTCTTCTTGGAGAATCCGGTGTTGGTAAATCAACGTTCATCAATGCGTTTGCTAATTATCTTCATTTCGAAAGTCTTGACGAAGCTGAAAAAGGAAAACCCATTGTTATTATACCTGTTTCTTTCGAAATAGCACTTAATGATAATTTTGATGAAAAAACAATCAAATTTGGGGAGTTTGATTCAAATGAAAATCATAATAATGCAGGTCAATCAGTCACTCAACAATGCAAAAGTTATGCTTTTAATATTTCTAATGAAAGAAAATTACGCATTATCGATACACCTGGTTTTGGAGATACACGTGGAGACAATCAAGATAATCTCAATATGGGAGAAATATTTGCTTTTCTTCATAATATAAATTATTTAAATGGTATATGTCTTTTATTTAAACCTGAAGTTGTGAAATTAAATCCTTATTTACAATCTTGTTGCAGTCAATTATTTCAATATTTTGGTGAAAATATTCTTGACCATTTTATCTTTTGTTTTACAAATGCTCGTTCGACATTTTTTGCACCTGGTAATACACGACCATTGTTAGAAGAATTCTTCAGTTCATTTCATGAGAAAAAAATTCCACTTAAGAAAACAAATACATTTTGTTTCGATAGTGAATCATTCCGATATTTGGTTGCAATGCAAGATTCATTTGAGTTTTATTCAACTGAAAGAGAGGAAATTGAACAAAGCTGGTTGAGATCAGTTACTGAATCGAAACGTTTTAGTAATTTCTTATGCAAACAGTCTTCATATCGTAAAAATATAGAATGGCAATCAATGGAAGATGCTCGATTTCAGATTAATTTCATGATTCGTCCGATTGTAGAGACGATGCGAAATGTTCTTCGGAATATTATTTTATTTGATCTTCATGCATCGATTAAACTATCTGCAAAACCTGCAATTCCGTCGTCAACGATTTGTTACAAGTGTAGTCGGCAACCTGGCAAATATGATCGATTCTGGATTTTACCAGATCATTTACACAACCCACCAAAAATGGTTAGTCTCATGCATATTTTCATTAAGATATTCTTTAGTAAAATGGAGAAAACCCTTATTAAAGATCAACACATAATGAAAACAAGACAGTAGCAAACTACACATGATGGATTATTCATAGCGTATATTAAATATCCGGACTACTAAATCACAATTAAGTACAGAACAATATTTTTTGTTCTCGAGAACGCCACTTCAGGAAAACTATTGTAATTATTTCCTAAATGTTCACCGATAAGCACACCACAGTGATCTAAGTCAGATAATCTTGGAGTAAACTTATTCCATTCATTTTGATTATATCTATGAAATTAATATCTATTAAGTGTAATGTAAAAAAGTGAGTGATGTCATAATATCCTTACACCCGGCAACGACTTACTAGCGCAAACACGCTACAGTATCCACATTAGGTGCATCCAATTTTGGGTATCCGAATTTGGGTATCCACATTTGGGTATCCACATTTATGTATATATGTTTTGAAAAGCTGAGGAATTTGAGTTGTTTTGGTGTATCCACTTTTTGGGTATCCACATTTATATATATATATATATGTTTTGAAAAGCTGAGCAATTTGAGTTGTTTTGGTGTATCCACTTTTTGGGNACCCAAAAAGTGGATACACCAAAACAACTCAAATTCCTCAGCTTTTCAAAACATATACATATGCATAAATGTGGATACCCAAAAGTGGATACGCTTAATGTGGTTACATCCGATTGTAGATGCACTAAGAATGGATACTCCATAAACTATTGCTGCATAGGGTATTGTGACGTAAAACGCTCGATACCCAGTGTAAAGGTATTATGACATCTATGAAAAAAGTAATTAGATCCAACCTTTTTTGAAATTGTTGATCAAGGATTTTCTCGATTACTCGATTGTCGTTTTTATACGGAATAAATAGCAGTATATTTTTGACTATTCGATATTGGAATTATGTGTATACCTTCTCGTTGTTTGTGATTAACATTTTTAGAAGACAACATCTAGCAAAATTCATATTTATACTGAAAAGTTTGAAATTAAGAGACTATACTAAGGAAAATGTAGGCGACACAAATCATTAATTGCTTGTTTCTCTGAGAGAATATATCTAGCATTCGTTTTACCATCACAATTGACAGATTTTTATTCACAAGTTCGTGCTGTTGATGATATTTTGAAGCATAATTTTTGTGCAGTAAATGGACCTGAAATCGTCCTTTATGTATATTTATTACTTGTATTCTAGCGAAAAATATTCATAAATGAAATAGTTGAGGTTTAATTAAATTATATATTAATTCTCTATATATTCCTAGTGTCCATCAAATGATCAAAAGCCAACTGAATATCGACTAGAGTATGAAGCTGTTGGTCATCAAGTAGAGGAATCAATCGATGAATTAAATGAATATCTCATTCTTCTCTGTAAAACCAGCGCAAAACTTGCTCAATTCTTAATGAAGACTTCACAGATGCAACATGATGATTCAATTGTATCTGAGATAGACAGAATGATAGATGAAGAAAATGTTATTTCTCAAGGAGAAACGCCAAGAGATTTAAATAAGAAATTAATGGAAAAATTGAAGCAACTGAAAACGAATTATCAAAAGCAAAAGAATCAAACAGAACGAAATCAATCAATTAGCGATTTGGCTGAAATCTATAACTTACTGAACTTATTAAAAGGAATACCGATGGTTAACATACAATTAGATGCTATTAAAAACTATCAACAAACTTTGTTGGAAAGTAATCAACGTCATATCTCAACTACGAAAACTAAATAATATTTTATTAATCACTTGTTTCTTGTACCATTTTTATTCGTCTTTCACTATCAAGGAGAAAACTATATTTTACTGAATTATTTTCATATAACTAAAGAACTTAATTTCAAATATATTTTTTAATCAATTACTTCCAACATATCGGATTCTTCGCGTTTGAGTTCGATGCCAAGTAAAAAATATAATTCGTTTAGAAAGTTTTATTTTCTCATTCATATTCTGAAAACGCATAAGTAGAAAGAATTACCGAAGATAAGAGAGATCGAAAGTAATTGCTACGTTATGAAAGAATAAGAAGCATTCCTCAACATGTATCTGTTATTTCTAAAATAAACGACTTCATACACATATTAAAAAAATTGTAAGTACATCTTAAGAAAAAGAGAATGTATGCTTAGTGTCTGATGAGATGAGTCATATGTACGAACAACTTCCATATTTATTCATTGTTGCTGATTTCATTTATTCTCTTTTGACTAAACAACATTCATAATACTGTCTATTTGTCCTCCATACAGAAGGTGCAGAATGCCTACGCAGCAGAATTCAGAATTCTGTAAACTTATAATATTTTTAAACAAGTCAATGCTTATAGAATAGAATTCTATAGAATTCTATATTGGCACGATTAAAGCATATCACTTTTGCTCTTCATATGATATTAGAATTTTATTATAGCTTGTTTGAATTCTGCTTAGAATTCTATAGAATGTTAGGGTACTGGAATATGTTTTGTGTAAACAAATGCGTTGGATATGTTGTTCGCTTGGCACAAATTCGGAGGATTAAAGTTGTTTTCGTAAATTTTATGGATAGAGGATAGATTTTATACGAAATGAAGGAAATATAAAACGTCTAGTTTAATTGAAAACATCGACACTTCTAATTTATTTCNCTGGTAAACGTGAAATTTATACACACCAATGTTCTGCGCGCGGATCTTCCTGCTTCAAAAACAGACTGGCAGAACATAGTGCATCAATTCAAAGACAACTTTCCAAGTTATGGATAATATAAAAAGTTGTTTGTATACTGTTTAAATGTTTTTGTAACCCAGGTCATTATCGATCCGTCGGTTCTTGTGGAGCGGGTTATAATTCCGATGTCACATGGTGACCGGATTCGGTCGGTTAATTTCTGGCGAATTCCGATGCTATTCCTTTTTTTCTTCTGAAATCTGGATGCCGGATTCTCC